CAAATTTTGACCAATTTTAGCTATACGATCGATCTATCGACGAATACGAAACGATCCTCACTCCACGAGATTTTGAACGAGCCGAACAATTGGGCAATCCACCTCATTACAACAAGTATGACTTAGACGATCCTGATGCTATGTACAAGAAAGATCTATTCGAAGGAGATATCGCCAATGAAAATGCGAGTATTTTTTATTTCTTACATTTTTTCTTGACTTTCGGGTTTTTGTTTCCGTATTTCCCTGCGTTCGACCAAAAGCTTCGAGTTGACAGCTTAGAGAAGCCAAGTGATTTGCAATTGACTTACTTTCCCGTGCATAACACTTACTTACAAATGATGATATTCAAGTGCTTTAATATTCAATAGTTTGCCAAGGGCACATTCCACGTTGGCACATTCCATATGGGCGGAGTCGGGCTCATCATTGAGTCTTCCCCAGGCTACTATATCCTTATGGGGAAAGAAGACGTAGAGCCTTGTTCGCTGCGGACGCTAGGGCCTGGCAGAAAGATGGACTCGGCAAAGAGCCAGCCCGATCTCCACCATGTGGAAGCTGACAGGCGACCTCAATAGATGGGAAATTGGCTGGCACAGCGCTGAAGCTAGCTTCTCTGGCGCGCACCATCATCGTCGGCGAACAAGACTGCATGCGAAAAGCGCAACGGTACGTCTCATATAATTAACGTGATTATAAGTGTAAATGCTCACTTTGTGTGTACATTATCATGGCGCTGTTCGGCGACAGCTTTTGCTTCCCATCGATGTGTCGACCCATCTAGATAGCCTTTTCTTGAGTTGACACGTTTTACCATGGTGGCTAGACGAGCTTGCTCCAGCTTCACAAGAGTTCACAAGTTTCACCAGAGTGAGACTTGTAAACCGGAAATAGTGAAGCAGTGAAAGTGCAAAATGCCCCTCCCGAACTGCGCCCTATCATTCTTCGCTGATAATATCACCAGTATTGAATGTTTACAATTAGCATTTAGACAGATTATTTATTGTTTAGTTATTTGTTTGTTGTGACACACTCAGGTGCGCTTCCACCAGAACTCAACCAATTATGAAGACTCTTGGTATAAAATACACATTCAGAGGAATTCTTCGAAGGCAGACCACGAAAAGTCAAATTGTCTGATGTTCTGTTTATGTTTTTATTTATTTGTTTATTTATTGCTTATTTTATTTTATTTGTATATCCATGAAGCCATATCCATTTTGATATCCACAGTAGAAAAGCCACATACGTTTAATCTCTGCGATGAGGGTAAATGGTAAAAAGGTGCGCCATTGCTTTTCAGCAGCTCTCATGTCTAACAGGCTGTTTGCAAGCCAATTTAGTTGGATCAGCCTTGATAGCTGACTTGCGCAGAGTGTCGAGGCGGGACTTCTGTGAGCGCCTACACTTCTTATTGGTAAAAGTGGGAACTAGTGTATTTACCTGTCCTAAAACCTATGCCCATATTTCCTATTGAGGGAAGAATTTGCCCACATATGGGTATCTATAATGGCTCAGCTAATTCTCTGAGCGTATGAGATGTGAAGACAGTTGAACATAGCGCCTGCTCCTACCCACTGAGGTACAGTCTTCTTCGCTGCGCACGCTGGGCATTTCAAAGAGGCGCGGTTCAGGACACACAGTCAGTTTCACAAGTCCGCCCGCAGAGGATGTTCTACACACGTCCTATGGCAGCTAGAAAAAGTGCCCCCTTCTCACCAAGCAAGGCACCATTTCCGCCCATACACCCAGTATAGACTGCTCCTTCAATGCGAGTTGACTACCTGGGTCCCACCAATGAACAGATCGTATCAGGAAATTTAGCCATAGGAAATTTCTGTGCTAGTGAGACCCAAGGTTGCTTTCTCCTAGACTGAGGCAAATACTGTCAATCTGAGCTCAATAAAAGGTAATACCTGTTACCATACAACACATTTACCTTTCATGTTACTACAGCTGTCTCGTCATTGATGATTTAAGTTGAATGCTTCAACCGTCGAAATGTTCCTGAATGGAGGTGTAGGCAACAGTAATGGCGGTTGGTATAATGCCATAAAGAATCGACACCAATGTGGCCTAACGGTCGCATTCCTTACACGATCAGCAGTCAGTACAGCAGCTACAGGTGACCTTTTGATAACAATCCTTTTTTGTGGCTTCGGGTCCCGTACAGAGTTGATGGTTCAGGATTTTGGACAGGAGGTTTGAGTTGCGGCGACGCAGAGGGAAGACGCTAAAAGTGGCCCTACGTGTGTGGCATCTCCGCCAAGACCTAAGTGTTTTTGCGAACCTGCTTCGGTAACGCGAGTCGGTAAGGTTAGGAACGCCGCGCGCTGAGCTGCATGCGGTGATTTTCGTTGAGGCGTGTCAGAGAGGCTGAGTTTGACGCGGCGCCAACCGTTTTCCACCAATTGTCGCTTGTCCGCTTTGACAGTTGATGGGAATGGGGTGGCGCCGCGCCAAACCTGGTCACCCAGACACGCCTGCAGCCAAAACGGCAATTTTCCCTGCGTGTCGCCGTAACTCAGACTTCTTGGCCCGCAGTCAGTGATTCAGGGCTTCCGAATACACAGAGATCGATATCCATTACCTTCGCCGATCTTTCAGCCGGTCTCAAATAGCGGCATCCAATGCAGGAGTATTCCCTTCACACTTGTATCAAATGGGTACCGAAAACGAACAGCGACGTCAATTATATCTATATTTTTCCCGACAGGGGATGTTACTCTATGGTTGGCAAAATAGGTGAAGTTGGTGCTCATACTTAGTAGAATACTTCTGAATTTTTTTTTCAAATTTTTTCGAGGCGTGCATTCTAGCTCCATTTACAATCGTAGTGGCCTATTGAATGCGATGTGGTCTATAGACTTACTGTGGCCATCCGGTGACGGCTCACTGTTCTTATCCTACCAGACGAATCTGAGAAAACCTATGGTTTTAGGAGGGTAGAAGGCTTGGACAGAGCCAATCCGCAATCTGACCAGCGGAACGCGCGCACAGTAGACCGCTTGTCACTACACAACCTCCCTTTGCTATATCCTACCGCAATACCTTTGCTGACTGGGTAGGGAAGGATATGCTACTTGGCAAACGGCAAGAATCCCTTGTCAGAACTTCTTACGCTTGCGCGCTGATGCTCACTGCTCCCTTCTCAGCGGCTCAAATACAACTTCTCTATAAAGGCAAGCGTGCACCCACCTCCGAAGACGGCCCTTGCCAGCTGCAGTAGCGTGCCACTTTCTGTTCATGAAGGAGCACGGAATGGGGTAGTGATATCCGAGTACTGTTCGTCGATTCCGCCCGCGCTGTCCTCAAGGTGCAGCACTTATTTCGACACCAAAATCCTGCATGGACCCACTGCCACAAGTGAGAGCCTAGAAAAGTAGCGAGTTTAGCTGCGGGGCGTGCGGCTGGCC